AGTTGGCCAAGTGGTTGTTCTCCAGATTTCTTGGCACAACTTGGTGAGCACATCCAGGGCAACATCTGTTATCTGAAATACTTCAATTGGTATACCATCTTGGATAATTTGTTAATTGAAGCCTTCGTGTAAATCTAACATTAGCTTTTTCTTTTCAAAAGGTTTTAGATTTCTGGTTTGCTTAAGTAAAAGACATGAATAACATTATTAGTTTTTTTTACTTTTTTAAACTGACCTTTACCTGCTGCACAGTTGCAAATCTTTTTTTTTAAAAAGCATATATGTCATTTGATGGTGGGTGGAGTTTTGGTGGTGAAGGATACAGAAAAGATCCAGTGTGAAAAAACTATGTATCCAAACGTTGTAAATAAAGCAGTATAAAATGAAAAAAAATATATACCTAATACCACGTGTGGATGTGTGTGGGGAAAAAGATTTGTAAAACTCCAAGGAAATAAAAAAATTTAAAAGAGCAGATGTGGCAAAACTTTTTACCAAAAAATATTTCACTCTATACTCCTAAATTTAAAAACCTCACTGCCACCAAGTAGGTAACAACTATAGAGATCCTGAAGGAAAGAACAGAATTGTTCTTTAGAGTTTTCTAGGTTGCAACTTTTACAAAAGCTCTTGGAGTGGGTTTGAATCATCAGTCTTTTGATTAACACTCAAATATTTTAACCTCTGTAAAACTGAACTCTAAATTCCTATTAGAAGCTTGGTATCTTTGTCTCTGTCCATGGTGCCTCAGGCCTGAAATAAAGAGATACATATAAAGGCTTATAAACAGAATGAAAAAATGAAAAAAGTTTATAATTTTTACCTTAAAAATGTGACATAACTTTGCCTCTGCTACTAGAGTGATATGGTGTCTCATTGTGGTTTTGATTTGCATCTCTCTTATTGCCAGTGATTATGAGCATTTTTCATGTATCTGTTGGCCATCAGCATATCTTCCTCTTTCCTCCGTGAAAATTCTTTCCATGTCTTTTGCCTATTTAATAATTGTGTCATCACTCTTTTTCTTGTGGAGGCCCTGTAGAATTCTGTACACTATTGATGAGACCCTTTTCTGAAATGGTATAGCCAAATATTTTTACCAAGCAGTAGGTTTTCTTTTCACTCTGCTGGAAAAAGTTTTTGAGGTATACAGGGATTTAATCTTTAGAAGGTTCCTTTCATCACTTTTATCCTCTCCAGACTGAGTATTTCTGGCTATATATGGCAGTCTCTTTATACCATAGACTAGGCCATCTAAGCTTGAGCCCAGTTTGTCTTTGATGAACATTATGATCAGCAAGTAACAAATGTTGGAGAACATGTGGTGAGATAGGAATCCAACCACTCTGGAAGGTAGTTTGGCATTTCCTCAAAAAGCTGAACACAGAAATACCATATGACCCAGCTTGCATGTAAACCCTGATAAAATGAACACAAATAGAAACTTATACACCAATGTTCATACCAGTTATTCACCATTGTAAGAACATGGAAACAGCCCAAATGTTCAGTCACAATCTAATGGATTGAGAAATTATGGTACATTCACATGATGGAATACTACACAGCACACAGGAACAATGATTTTTGAAAATCACTATCTAACTTGGGAAGGACTGGATAGTATTATGCTGAGCGAATGAACTCAATCCCAAAAGAACAAATACTGTATAAGACCATTATTGTAGAATGAGTATGAGGGTCCAGTGGGGATGGAAGGTGGGAGCAGAGGGGTGAGGATGGGCGGGAGGGTGGTTAATCATAGGGTCACACAATTTGATGGGTGGAGAGAGGGGGGTGATGGTAATGGGAAAGATCCAGTGTGAAAAACAATATATATAAACTTTGTAAATAGACAAGTATAAAAAAGAAAAAAAAAGTGACAATTCCCCGCCCCCCCCCATCTATATATTTAAAGAGGATTCTTTTTCTAGAGAACCATGGTGACACTCTAGGGAGCTCTGGTAGTATGGTCTATAGGAAGGTGTGCTGCGAACCCAAAGGCTGTGCTTCTCAGTAGATTTGAATCCACCAGCTGCTCCTTGGCTCCTCAGGGAGAGACTCAGTCTTCTCCCATTTGATTTATGGCCTCAGAAAACCCAACCAAAGATCAATTGTAAATCAGAAGCAGCACGACGAGATGTTGATTTTGTGGTTTCACAATGCTTAGGTGTTTGGTTGCCACAAGCTGATGGTTTGAACCCATTGAACACTGGGAGAAAGATGTGTCAGTTGCCTTCCATCAAGATTATAGCCTTGGAAGCTCTGTGTGTCAGGACATTTCTCAATCTGGATCAATGATTCACCCTAGGCTACCTATTCTAGGTTTACCACACCAGAAATAACAGGGTGAAAGTTTAGCAAACTGTTTGAGGGTTGTTTGTTGTTGTGGTTTTTGCTTTTGGTAGGGGTTTTTTTGTTTGCTTGTTGTTGTTCTTTTAAAATGACCTCTCGTAGTGATTTTGATGTATGCTAAAGTTTGACATATTGACCTAGGAAACTGAGAAGTTTTACATGACATTATTCTAGAATGTTTTTTTACAAAAATAATGACATTGAAGAGCAAGCAAAGATCAGACAATGAAGGTTCTTCTATCGTTTGTTAGAGACTTTTATTCTTGAACTTGCAAGTATCCTTTTAAAGATTTTTATTAAAGGAGGATATTTTAAAAATAAAATTTTTATTTTATACTAGTTTTCTTACAAAGTTAGTATACATTGGTTTTCACACTGGATCTCTCCCATTTCCTTTACCCACCCATCAAATTGTGCGACTCCTCATTCTAACCCCTCTACTCCTCCTTCACTCCCCTCCCCTTCGATTCTCATACATGTTTTACTAGTTATCTTTCTATTTCTACAAAAATGGTCTTATAATGTATTTGTCTTTATGGAACTGACTTTGTTCACTTAGCATAATGCTCTCCAGTCCCTCCAAAGACAGGTGGTGATTTTAAAAATCATTGCAAGGAGAATTTATTTTATGTAGATAATACTATGACAAGTTATAAACTTCCCATTCTACCTATGAAGTTAATAAAATTTTATTCTAATCAACTCTAGTTTATAAATTTATGTAAAATTAAATATTGAAAAAGAGGGGGGAGGATTGTATAGCAATGAAGGAATTTTTCTTTTACTTTTCAAAGAGAAGAGTGAACTGGGGAGGAGGGGTGGGCATGGAGAAAAATATAACAATGAATGAATGGAAATCCAAAATCTCTGTAAATGTTCATTAAGGTTAATAAAATAATTTTTTTTTTAAAAAAAGTGATTATTCCCTTCATAAGTATTATCTTAGTACCACTCTTTCTGTTGCTTGTGACTGGCTAGCCCTTTTCCCCTCCAGCGTCTATAAACCTGGGGCTTCCTGGAGACTTCCATGTGTCTTGACCTTTCCTGGTATCAAGAACTTCCTCACACAGAAGTTGGCTCCAGAAAGATGCACTCTATTCCTGGCAGTTACTTCTCGCCAACCCCACTACTCCCTTTCTGGCTCACTTTCCTCCCTCTTTATCACTAGTGAAATAAAATGCATTACAGACGACATTCTAGGGAAACTTCCATCAGACTAGGTCTGTGATGGAATTAATGGAGTTGCATTCCACCCTTAATCCTTGTAAAATTGTTTGGCTTATCAGTTCATAGAAGAATAGTACTTAACTTTCACTTTGTTTTATTATACATTTATATTTTTGTGGGACTCAATTCAGTCTCTGACACACAGGATTTCTGAATGACTGCTTAATTTTAGCCTATCAAGGCATATTCTTTATGTAGATTTTGCTCAAATTTATCTTTCCATGTGTTTATTTAGAAAGAAAAGTATTGCTAACTCATGAAATATTTATCTTTTGATAGTGAGTAGACAGAATTATGTGTAGTTTGTGAAATAGCAATTTAAGAATTATTCTAGTATTTTAAACTGTTTGAAAAAATCATGCTGAAATAGATATCTTAAAAGATAAAGCTATGAATTAATATAGTGCTTTTGTTATAAATATGTGGAATATTTTTAAATGCTTCTCCTGTTATATTTTACTTAATTTGAAGTTATAGAGCTTGAAATAATGCTTCAAATATATCTGAGATTTATATATATTCAGAAGCTAGAGATTGGTGCTTAGAATTTGGAAGGTACATGTAACATGTCTATTCACACAATATTTTCATCTATTTCATTTGTATTAGGAAATGGCTGGTTTCTTGATGGTATTATGGTCAAAGATCCCACAACAAATCACGAATATGCTTTCTCCTGTAGCAGGTTTGTAGGTGTGCTCTTATATTAAAAAAATCAATTTCTTACTAGTCAGTGTCAAGTTCATGTAAATTTGAAAACTAAGAAATTTGTTTAAAAATTGATGATGCATTATTAATTAACTTTTGTGAGTATTAATTTTAGGAATGGTTTCTTCTATTGTGGAAGATATATGTTAGGTTTATAATTTCTGGTCATATAAATTTAAAACTTTTTTGGTACGTAATATCTATCTGTTATAGCTCTTTCTTTACTTATCAGCGAAGAGAATCAGTCTCTCTCCTTGGAAAACCTTACTACAATTGGACTAGTTCTAAAAGTGGTTTAAAACAGAATATATGTACAAAATAAATGTTGTAAGATGATATTGCTGACCCACTGACAATAGGCCTTTGCTTTATTTTCCCTGTGAAACTATAGATTTACTTTCTTTCAACATTCTTCTGCTTCTTCCCTCATACAAATTTATGAAAAAGCTGACCAACATTTGGATTGTAGTTAATTGTCAAAGAACAGAATGCAATGAATGATCCAATGAATGTAAAATATGTGACCCTGGCCTATTTTCTATGACAAGCTTGTTGACCTAGTAACCCACACATGGATTTGGGAATAAATACTTTTTACCAGACAGAGACTTCATCCTTTACTTTTGACTCTCTCACAGTCATCTCTGACATTTCTTCCTGCATTTCCCACTCCATGTTGCTTTTTCTGATTCCTGCTAACCATTACATCTGACTAGAGTTGATACATGCCAGTGGCTCATGAAAATACAAAGCCTCGATAAAACTGATGCTCTGTCTTCTTTTTCCATAGGTGGCTGGATCAGGGGGAAGGTGATGGTGAAATTGTCAGAGAGCTGTATGCCAGTGAAAGCAGCATTCTCTTTCAGAGTAAGTGCTGTGACTTGGAAAATTCTATTTTACTGCAGAAAATTGATTGAAGAAGGATTAACTCTGTTGAAATAATGGTATTTTTCCCCCCTTTATACAGGGAAGAAGTTAGAGCTTAAGAGAAAAGAAATTGTAAGACTTTACTTTTGCCTTAATTTAATTAGTACAAAACCATTGTTGTAGCTACCTGTGGGCTACCACAAAATAGCCTATTTATAGATATTTTTTGGCAATTTTTTCTTTTTCTCATACTGACCCTTTTGTTTGTTTTAATTCAGTGGGCTGCAGAAAGCTGGAAGTTTATGAAAGGGAATACTCTTCAGTTCTACAATAAGCTCACTGGAGGATTTATTCGCTTGCATCCAGATGGCACCATTGATGCACTTGGACATAAGACAGACAAATATGGTAAAATCATTGGGTGAAGCCTGTGGAGCAGTGGCAGGCCTGGGAACTGGAGAAAAGCAGACTTCTAAACTTCAATTAAATTATAGTTTTGCTTTTTTGTTTTCAAATGGCTTTTGGCCAGTGTTAGACCATTTCACTAATTCATTATCTCCATTAATACAAGTGATCAATAGATGACAGGCTTTGAATCTGGACAGACAGTGTCATTATACAAAATAGTGCATCAAGAAAAAATGATGTTTGGAATGACTTAATTGAGTATTGAAATGTAGGTAATTAACACTAACTGTTCATAATATGCAGCAATTGTAGCTCTTAAGAAGTGTAATCACTTTAGAAATTAACTCAATTCTATAAAGTATCTGTTATATTTAAAACATTGTGTTAAATAATTTTTGTATCACAGACAGAACTATATTATTATCTCTGACTTTCAGAGATTTGTGTTCTAATGAAGCAAACAAACATTTGCAATTCTAATTATTGTCATTTGTAACTAGTATCATAATAAAGATAAAAAGAAAAACACTAGGCAGAAAAACATTGGATTTGATGGAAGCTCTTTGTCTATAAACACAAGCCTCCAACATTTCTTGAAATATATGTACCTACTATTTTAAGCACAATTTGTGTGTTCTGTATATAAACATAACTTTTCTCTGCTGGAAGCTGTACTGTACAAATAGCCTCTAGGATGTGCTGGAGATGCTAACTTACAGCATTTAATAAAAAAATGTACCCTTCCTATTAGATAGTTCAATAAGTTACCTATTTTTTTCTTGAAAAAAATGCTGCATTCTAAGAATACCTTCTAGTAGCTTCTCTTTCCAAAATTAATCTATTCATCAGGCATTTTTCTTAGTGATAGTTTCCCATGTGGAATTCCTTACCCACTTACCTCACTCAGAATGGCCTCTCATATCCTGTTACCTGGATTTCCTACTGCTAATGCTAATGCTTTCCCACCTAATTGAATGTGGTAGATTATATCTACCAGTTGTGGTTGTTATGTGCTATGGAGTCACTCATGACTCATAGCAACCTTATGTACAACAGCTCTGAACTCTGCTCTTTATTTCGTTGTGTAGCCCCATTACTCCCGTCACTGGGTCAATCCATCTCGTCCAACGTCTTCCTTGTGTTGTCCCTCTGCCCTGTCAAGCATGATTTCCCTCTCTAGGACTGATCCTTCCTGGAAACATGCCTAAAATTATGTGAGACAGAACCTCAAAATCCTTGCCTTCAAGGAGCAGCTTGGTTTCATCCTCTCAAGGATTAATCTGTTTGTTCTCTTAGCAGTCCATGATATATTCAATAACCATTTCAAGTATCACAACTCAAAGACATTAATTCTTCTGTCATCCTTAGCCATTGTCCAGCTTTCTGATGCATAACCTTAGTCTCTAGACTGACATTTTTGCTCTTCAGCACTCTGGAGAGGTTCCTGACAGTGGATTTTCCTAAATGCAATTAGTCTTTTGATTTCCTGGCTGTTGATACCAAGATTGTTGATTGTGGAGCTAAGCAAGCTGAGGCTGTTAACAATCTCAACCTCTTCTTCTTCTGTCATGATGGTGCCAACTTGCCCAGGGGTGGGAATTTTTGTTTTCTTGTTATTGAGTTCAATCTATATTGAAGGCTGCAGTCTTTGACCTTCTGCAGCAAATGCTTAATATCCTCCTCACTTTCAGCAAACTTTGTTGTGTCATCTACATAATGACAATATGGGGACAAAATAATGCTATTTGTAGGTGTGTCAGAGCCACTGAAACTGGTTAAGGATATGACAACATTCAGTTCAGAGCTTTTGTACGTAAAGGTTTCTATGAGTCGCAGACAATTCAATGGCTTTTAGCAACAATGACAACAAGAAATCATAAATTTTAAGAATCTGAAATTTATCTTACGAGCAAAAGGCATATGATTCACAGACAAAGACTATTTCTAATGGCAAAAACAATTGTTGGGACAGTATCTTTCATTGGCTGCTTAAGCTTCAGTTCTTGCAGGTGATGTGGTGAGGGCCACATTGTACCTGTACATACAGTGACATGCATTAAATGTCATTCTCTTCTTTGTAATGACATCTTTATCTTAGATACAAACTAATGTCTTATAAGAAGAAGGTGTCTGTAGGTTTATTACACACTAGTTTGCGACAGATCTTCAGAGAATGGAAAGATATGTCTGTACTTTTGCTACCCTAGAGCATCTCTAAATAACAGCTATCACTAAGATTCACTTCTTTGGGATATCTCCTTATGAAAGCATTTTTAAAATGCCTTTGCTCAGAGGACCTGGACTACCTAGGAATATGAGATATTGAGAAGCAAGTATGTTCTAATATTCATCCCACTATCCCATTTACAAAGGAATCTTGACACTTCTACATCAAGAAGCTGAGCTGTTTACCCTTTCTGGTCCTGTTCTGTACATGAATAATAAATATGTACATATGTGGAACACTGGTGGCCTAGTGGCACTGGTGGCCTAGTGGCAAGTAGCTGCACTGAAATCCTGAAGGCACGTGGAATGAGCAATCTCCTCCCTTGTGATTTAACTGCTTCTGAAAACCCACTTGAGGGTCAGCTATGGGTCAGTTCTGTTTCTATGGTACAGAACAACAACAATGTGAATGCAGCCGAAACAGTACTCAAAAGCAGCTCTCAAAGCCTGCTTCTTTCACCTTTTGGAACTCTGTCCTCATCCTGTGAGGAAGCTCAAACAGCCCTTCAGAGAGCTCCCCAAGAAGAGAGCTGAGACTCCTGCGTGCCTTTGTGGCACCATTGCCTGAGTGTCTGTCTGTAGACCAGCTAGCTCACTGATGGATGAGGCAAATTGAGAAACTTTTGCTCTTAATTGTTTTTAACATCTTAATATGCTAATATTGTAATATATAAACTAGAACGAGCAGTCCTGAAAAGGCAGGTGCAGGGTAGTATGAATAATTTCCCTGAGTGAAACTGACATTATTTCAGCAGGAGGTCTTTTATGTGTGGTAATTACTTGAAGGATTATTTCCTGATGTTGTGCTTGATGTCCCATCAGTCCACACTGGTGAATCATCTTTCACGTGCCTGGGAAGTGCTGCGATAAAACAGTGCTACCTATGCACTTTTCCAAGGGAATATATTATAGAATATACCTTGGTGTACTAATCTTTATATTTAGTTATCATGGTGTTTGTTGGTTTAGCTATTCTAAAGATCGGAAAGCTACAATGCTCATTTCTCAGAGAACTGCTGACTCATTCCCTGCCAGTGAAGGATCTGAGAGTAAAAACATGGCATGAGTCTTTGAGATGCCACTGACAATTTCATGTTATAGTCACAAACTCATGGCTATTAAAACAATCATGTAACATTGACAGTGGTAATCACAAACACATCTTCTTGTCTATGATGTGACATCCTCTAACAAAGAGGAAGGACTAGAATGATCAAAGTTTCTTGATCACTATTTCTACGTCAGGGCTGGTTCCACAAACTTCCCAATGTGAGTTTTTAAAAGATTTACTTTGGTGGCCTACTGGAATCAGCAGTCGGAAAACAAAAAGATGAATTGTAATAGGAAAGTCTGCTGTCAAGCACCTCTTCAGAGTGCTAAAGAGCAACAATATCAGTCTAGAAACTAAGGAGTGTCTGATCAAGACTATGGTCTTTGCAATTGCCTGTTGTACATCAGAGAGCTGGACAATGACCCAAAAGAAAAGAAGAATTGATGCCTTTGAGTTGTGATGTTGGAGAAGAGTATTGAACATACCATGGACTGACAAGGGAACAAACAGGTATGTGCTGCAGATGGTGAAACCAATCTGCTTCTTGGAGGCAAGGATTTTGAAGCTCTGTCTCACATGCCTTGGGTATGTCGCCAGTCCTTGGAGAAGGACATCATGCTTGGCAGGGTGGAGAAACAGCACAGGAGAGGAAGACCCCAGATGACATGGATTGACACAGTACCTGGATTAATGTGGGTAGATGTGTCAGGAACAGTGAAATTGGCCCAGGATAGAGCATGGTTCACAGTGATTGTGAATAGGATAGTTAGAAGTTGCAGGGAACTTAACGGCACATAACAACCCTGGTAATGGGCTGCACTACAATACTGAAGGCACATGGTTCGAATCCGCCACTTGCTCCATGAGAGATGGATGGGCAATCTCCTCATGTGTAATTAAATGCCTGTGAAAACTCACTGGAGGATCAGCTCAGCTAACGATTGGTTCCGATTCAATAGCACACAACAACAATACAATTATGAAACATAAATATATGTGACTTTCTCATTTTACAGTAATAATTTTCAATGGAAAATTAGCAAGAAATTTAGATGCATTTGATTTATGTTACTTAAGGGATTGAGCCTTTATCTTAAACTTTCTAATATATCACATAACTGGAAATATTTAGTATATCATTATTGCCTTTTAATGAATCTAAGAAAATATTTTTCCAGATTTTTGTAGTAGATTTTTTTAAACTTTCAAATATTTGCTTTCTGCCATGACATACTTCTGAATATGAAAAAAGTAACCATATTTTTAAAATACTTTAAAAATATGTCCAAATTTATATTACACTCCTTGCTTCAAAAAGTAAAATTTAATTCTTTTCTCTTTAAAGAAAAGAATATTTAGGTATAAGTATATTCTTATATAGGTAACATGTCCTGGTAGTACAGTGGTTAAGCACTGAGCTGTTACACTAAAGCTTGCAATTTTAACTCACCCATCCTTCCTTGGGAGAAAGATGTGACAGTCTGCTTATGTAAAATTTAACAGCCTTGAAAGCACTTAGGAGTAGTTTTATTCTGTACTATAAGGTTGCTGTGAGTCAGAGATGCTCAGTAACAACAGGTTTGTTTTTTAGGGTGTATTGAGTGTGGTTGGAATGAAGTCAGGAAAGGCAGATTCCTCTCGACCTCCAAAATTACTACCTCTGAGAAAAGTTTGCGTTCATATAGTAAGAACCAGGGTGGATTTCCAATTAAAAAGGGTAAAC